ACACACACACACACACATATACCCAGTTTAGTCATTTTACCTGTTTTCCTCTTTTCTGATGAAACTGTTCTTCTCAACCATCTCCCTTTTGTGTTCACATCCCCCCCTTTGATGATAGGTGATAACTGAGTTTAAAAATTTTCAAAAATTTAAAATTTGTGTGTGTGTGTGTGTGTGTGTGTGTGTGTGTACATACGCATGCATGTGTGCACATGCCACATGGCATTTATGGAAGTTAGAGGACAACTTAGTGGAATCTTCATCTGCCTTTTATGTAGGTGCTGGGGATTGAACTTAGATCTCCAAGCTTGCCTAGCAAGTGCCTTTTCCCATTGATCTATCTTCCTGGCCCACTGAGTTAGGATTGCTTGCGTGAGCATGGGCGGGGGATTATTTACTGAAACATGGGCAATTTGTCTGACTACAACACTGAATAACCTTGAATTTGTGCTCTTCCTGTCTCCATATGAGTGCTAGGATTATAGGCATGTGTCACCACTCTTTTTACAGTGCTGGGGATTCAACCTAAGGCTTCATGCATGCTAGGCAAGAACTCTACCAGTTGAGCTACAAACCCCAGTCCTAACACTTTATATTTCTGTTCACAAAGACTCAAGTTTTTTTTGTTTTTGTTTTTTGTTTGTTTTGTGCTTGTTTTTAGGATGGGAAGGCCGTTGTGATTATGTGTTGACTACAATTTTCTTACTACTGAAATGCCCACTGAAATCATGGAAGAGAAACAGCAGATTATATTGGCTAATCAAGATGGTGGGACAGTGACAGGAGCAGCACCTACCTTCTTTGTCATCCTAAAACAGCCAGGAAATGGCAAAACTGATCAAGGAATTCTAGTTACTAATCGAGATGCCTGTACTTTGTCAAGTAGGGTGTCATCACCAGGAAAATCGAAAGGGAAGATTTGCCTTCCAGCTGATTGTACTGTGGGAAGAATCACTGTTACCCTTGATAACAATAGTATGTGGAATGAGTTCCATAATCGAAGCACAGAGATGATTCTGACCAAGCAGGGAAGACGTATGTTTCCTTATTGTCGATATTGGATATCAGGTTTAGATTCAAATTTAAAGTATATACTTGTTATGGATATATCTCCTGTGGATAACCATCGTTATAAGTGGAACGGTCGTTGGTGGGAACCCAGTGGGAAGGCTGAACCCCATATTTTGGGGAGAGTTTTCATTCATCCAGAATCTCCTTCCACGGGTCATTATTGGATGCATCAACCAGTATCTTTCTATAAACTCAAACTTACCAACAATACACTGGACCAGGAAGGGCATATTATCTTGCACTCTATGCATCGTTACTTGCCAAGGCTTCATTTGGTACCTGCAGAAAAAGCTACAGAAGTGATACAATTAAATGGTCCTGGGGTCCATACTTTTACCTTCCCCCAGACTGAATTCTTTGCAGTAACAGCTTATCAGAACATACAGATTACCCAGTTGAAAATAGATTACAATCCATTTGCCAAAGGCTTTCGGGATGATGGGTTGAATGGTAAGCCTCAAAGAGATGGAAAACAAAAGAACAACTCTGACCAAGAAGGGAATAGTGTTTCTAGTTCTCCTGGTCATCGTGTTCGTCTTACTGAAGGCGAGGGGTCAGAGATACATTCAGATGATTTTGATCCTATGGCAAGGGGTCATGAAACATCAGGCATGGATTTGGAGAAGCCTACCCTTGATGTAAAACAAGACTTTCTTGGTTTTATGAGTACTGATTCAGCACTTGAAGTTCCTCAATTGAAGCGTGAAATTTCTGAAAGGTAGGTAATAGTTTCTCTTTTCCTTTTTTTTTAAAAATATTTTTTTATTTTTATTTTATGTGTATGAGTCTATTGCCTGAATGGGTGAGTGCATCCGTGTTGTGCAGTGCTGCAGAGGTCAGAAGAAGAGGGCTTTGGATTCCCCTGGAACTGGAGTTAAGGACGGTTCATAGCCGCCATGCGGGTGCTAAGAATAGAGCCTGGGTCCTCTGCAAGAGCAGTTAGTGCTCTTAACCGCTGAGCCATCTCTCCAGCCCCTCTTTTTTTTAGATTACATTTATTTATTTTATTTATATTGTGTGTATATGCATGTGTACATGTGTACTTCTTAGTGCTTGTAAGAGGGCAGAGGATGACCTTCAGGAGTTGGTTTTTTTCCTTCCATCATGTGGGTCTGGGGGATTGAACTTAGATCTTTTGGCAATAAGTGCCTTTACCCACTGAACTATCTTGCCACCTTGGTAATAGTTTTTATGTTCTTAAAGAAAAAAAAGGAGATTGAGATGGGCTAGGTATTGGATTTAATACATTGGTTCTATGGAATGCTGTAGACATTGAAAAATATAAGTTTCTGTAAAATAAATTACACCTGCTTTTAATTCTGTGAAGTGCCAACTAATTTTTTTGTAGTGACTGGGTTCAAGATGGGGAATTGAAGACAAATTGGATTATTTATCAAAATAAGGAACTTTTGCTGGGCATGGAGGCACTTGGAGGCAGAGATAGGTGTGTCTCTGTGACTTTAAGACCAGTCTGGTACATAAAGTGAGTTCCAGGCCATCTAGGGCTACATAGTGAGACTCTGTATCAAATAAAAGGAACTTTATATGATTTTTAGTGTTCGTTGTTGACACATATAGACGATTCATGATTAATTGTGGAAGAGGGAAAACCCCAAATCATAACTGAAACAGTTTATCCAACTGAGGCCTAAAATGGACTTGTCATAAACTTATGTGTGGAATATTTATGAATTTACTATCATGAGGACATCCTAGTCTATAAATTACCCAGCTAAAATAGAATCTGAAAATTGTTATATATGAAAATATGGTGGTGTACTTTAAAAAAATGTAATTCTATATAACTGAACCTTTGTATCCTCTGACCAACATCTTCCTCTTTTCTCACACCCTTTTCAGTGTCGTACTTAAATCATTTAGCATAATGTTCTCTAGTTCATTTATGTTGTCAAAACTGGCAGAATTTCTTTTTTAGTTTGAATAATATTCCATTGCAAAAGTAAATTGTCTGTCTGTCTGTCTCTCTCTGTATATGACAGGGGTCTCCCTGTAGCCCCAGCTGACCTGGAACTCACTATGTAGACCAGGCAGGCCTTGAACTCGCAGAGATTCGCCTGCCTCTGCTTCCTGTGTGCTGGGGCTAAAGGCCTGCGCCACCATGCCTCGCTAAAGGTCATTTTCTTAAGGTGTTTCTTAGCCATTTTTATTTCTTTTGAGAACTGTTTGTTCAGATCCAGAATCTGTCTTTTAATTGGGTCATTTGTTTTCTTGATTTTTTTTTTTTAAGTTCTTTGTATATTCTGGATATTAGTCCCCTATCAGATGAGTAGGTGGTGAAGATTTTTTCCCACTCTTTTGGGTTTCCTCTTCATTTCCTTAGTTGTTTTTTTAGCTGTGCAGAAGGTTTTTAATTTAATGAGATCCCAGTTGTCAATTGTTGAACTTAATTCCTGAGCAACTGATGTCCTTTCTTGCATCTATAGCTACAGGGTACTGCCTGTGTTTTCTTCTAAAAGTTTTCAGTTTCTTGTTTCACATTGAGGTCATTGATCCATTTGTAGTTGTCTTTTTGTTCAGGGTGATAGATATGGGTCTAATTTCATTCTTAATAGATGGAGATCCAGTTTTGCCAGCACCATTTGTTGAAGATGGGCTTTCTTCCAGTGTGTGTTCTTGGCACCTTTGTCAAAGATCAGATGACTGAAATTGCATGCACTCATGTTTGGGTCTTCTATTATGTTCCGTTGATGGACAGTAAAGATCTCTACAATGAAAATTTTAAATCTTTGGAGAAAGATTAAAGAAGACACAAGGAGATGGAAAGACCTCCCATGCTCATGGATTGGTAGAATTAATAGTGTTAAAATGGTCATCCTACCAAAAGCAATTTATAGATTCAATACAATGCCAATCAAAATCCCCATGACATTCTTCAGAGAATTAGGGAAAAAAAATCATAAAATTCATATGGAATCATAAAAGACCCTGGGTAGCCAAAGAAATACTGAGCAAAAAGAGCAAATAAATTTGTTTTTAAACTATGGTGTTTTGTTTTTTTGGTCTTTTTTGAAACAGGATTTCCCTGTAGCCCCAGCTGGCCTGGAACTCACTATGTAGACCAGGCTGGCCTTGAACTCACAGAGATTCCCCCTGCCTCTGCCTGCCAAGCGCTGGGACTACAGGCGTGTGCCACCACCCCAGGCTTTTTTGTTTTTTTGTTTTTTTTTTTTTGAGACAGGGTCTCTCTGTAGCTCCGGCTGGCCGGCCTGGAACTCTCCATGTAGACCAGGCTGGCCTTGAACTCACAGAGATCCACCTGCCTCTGCCTCCTGAGTGCTGGGGCTAAAGGCTTGCGCCATCATGCCCAGCTCTGTATTTCTTTTTTTAAAAGATGAAATTAATTATTTTTTCTTTATTTGAGACAAGTGTCTCCCTGTAACCCTAGCTGACCTGGAACTCATTATGTACACCAGGCTGGCCTTGATGCCACAAAGATCTGCTTGCCTCTGCCTCCTGAGTGCTGTGACTAAAGGCATACATCATGCCCAATTTGATTTTTAATAAGGTGTATGTGTGTGTATTTGAGAGTGCAGACCCATGGAGGTCTGAGGTAGCAGATGTCCCTGGAGCTGTAATTACAGGCAATTGTGAGCCTCATGGCACACAGGCAACATGGGTCCTGGGAATCCTCTGCAAGAGCAGTATGTCCTGTTAAGTGCTGAGCCATCTCTTCAGCCCCTAAAGCTATATTTGTCTTGTTGCCTGGTTGCTCTTTCAATGTTGTAGTGTGTAGAATTGTTAAAGGTGGGAGCATTATGATTTTAGTTTGTATTTTCTGATGACTATGAGAACTTTTGACCTTGCCATCACTCAGGAGATTATATATAGGAGAGTCTTTTCATAGTCATTTATTTTTTCTCCTTCATCACTTTTGGTACCCTTAAGGTCAAAACTACATTGTTTTAACTAATACAGCTTTATAGTCCTAATTGCCTGACTATGGTCCTAATACTTGGTCCATTTTTTTTGTAAGGCTTTTTCTTTCTTCTTCTTCTTTTTTTTTTTATAATTATAATTATTATTTATTTATTTTTGTCTTTTTTGAGACAGGGTCTCCTCATAGCCCCAGCTGTCCTGGAACTCACTATGTAGACCAGGCTGGCCTCGAACTCACAAAGATCTGCCTGCCTCTGTCTCCCAAGTGCTGGGATTAAAGGCGTGCGCCACCATGCCCAGCTATAATTATTTTTTAAATAAATAATTTATTGAGAATTTCATACATGCATGTAAGGTGTTTTGATCAAATCCATGCCCACTCCCTCCCCTCCAACTCCTCCCATATCTCCCCATCACTTTTTTTCTGATAACTTCATGTATTCTTTCTTCTTTCTTTATTTTTTTATGGGGCTTTTGGCTCTTCTAACATTCCTCCTTCTGAAGAGGTAACCCTAAAATCTTTTAAGGATTAAGATAAAAGCTTCCAAATATTTTTGACATTTTTCGCCTTTGGAACAGAGTAGGTTGCCAAGGACATTTTGACTTTTAAGTTGGCTTAACTTTTCTTGGGGTCTTTTTACCATAACTGCTTAGCCAATTCCTACCTCCTATTCTTACCACACCATCCTCTGAAGAGGTTACCTATATTGCCAATAGGGAATTGGGATGCAGATTGCCCTGGCTTCTTCTATGCAGAACAGGGACGCAGGGTGAGGCAATTGGAGTGCCCCTTCAGTGGGTCTGTCTAAAAGACTCCCAAATTGCATTAACTTTTCTCTCAAGGAGGAAAAGAAAGTTTTTGAATTGTGAATAGGAGATGTGAAGGAGAAGTAAAGGCAAGAGTAATTTAATTAGCATTACAAGTTCTAGACAGGGAACTAGAAAATAGAACGGGAAATTTCAAATGTTCATATGAGAGTCTGTTGGAATTTCTTGACAAGGGCTTACAAAAGCATCCCTCTATTGGATTCCTCCTCATTTTTCTTTTGTCCAAGGCTGGACTGTAGAGTGATGGATTCAGGATTTGCTTTCAGGTATTTTGATAGCTGTGGGAGTGGTTAGAAGCAGTGTCAGTTCCCTCTCAAGTGCTTCTAGATAGGGGGAGAAAACAAATTTATCCATCATTTTAGAACAATAGCTGTCTCCCTTAGGTACAGGTTGGCACTACAGTATTGGGGACCAATATTTGAAGTCTTACATCTGAGCAGCACTTTCTGGTTAGGAACAAAATCATCAATGAGAAATAATTGTCTAAATAACTTTTTATATAGACTTAAGCATAATGTCTGGGAAGTGGAATCCCTTGAACTCTTAAGTATATGATGACTTTACTCTTTGGTTATACCTTCCTTTTGGATGTTTAAGACCATACAGTTGGCCCAAATAAACCAATTTATTTTTACTCTTAAGGGCATTTGAGGATCTGTTCCTC